CGGCGGCGGGAGATCAGTAGGTGGCAGGAATGGGGTGGGGTGGGACAGAGAAGACACCGGGGTTGGGGGGTCGTCACCCACTGTCGCCGTCCCTCCCTCCGCAGCCGGCCGGACCACCACCAACGAGGAGCTGGAGGACATGCTGGAGAGCGGGAAGTTGGCCATCTTCACGGATGACGTACGTGAGGCCTCTCTGTCCCACGGTCGAGGGCCCCAGGAGGACCCTAGAACCCAACGAGGGCCCCAGGAGGACCCTAGAACCCAGTGGGGTACCCAGAACCCAACAAGGGCCCTGGGAGGACCCTAGAACCCAACGGGGTACCTAGAACCCAACAAGCCCCAAGCGGGGGCCAATGAGATGCCCTGAACAGCTGCATCCCTCGAAAACCAGGAGGTCCCCTGGACCCCTTGGGGCTTTCTGAGGTCACCCCAAACCCATTGGGTCACCCAGAACCATCAACAAGGTGCCCTGAATCATTGTGTGACCGGGAGGTTGCCCGTGGCCTGCTGGGGTTACCGGGAGCCCCGCTGGATCATCTCGAGCCCGGGGACCCCCCCACCCCACCATCCCGCCTTCTCCCCTCTCTCCTACCAGATCAAAATGGACTCGCAGATGACCAAACAGGCCCTGAACGAGATCGAGACGCGACACAACGAGATCATCAAGCTGGAAACGAGCATCCGGGAGCTGCACGACATGTTTGTGGACATGGCGATGCTGGTGGAGAGCCAGGTATGGGGAGGGAGGGGGTGAAATGGATGGAAGGAGGGCTTGGACTCTGCCGTGTTGGGGTCAAGGACCCCCCACGAGGCCCCCAGTGAGGTACCAGATCCCGTGAATCCCTCCCTCCCACTGAGAAACAAAATTTGAGGGATCGTTTGATCATCTGGAGTCCACCGAAACTTCTAGAGCCCATGGAAGCACCTAGAACCCATGATCAAAAGCTCTCAAGCCCACCAGGAGACCGTTGGGTCACCTAGAACCCACCAAACGCCATCATTAGGGCTTGTTGGCTCAGCTAGATGCCATTGAAAGCTCCTGAGCCCACCAAGAGTCACCTAGAATCCACCAAAACCCGTATTTAGTGTTCATCGGCTCACCTAGATGCCATCGAAAGCTCCTGAGTCCACCAAGGGTCACCTAGAACCCACCAAAAGCCTTCGTTAGGGCTTGTTGGCTCATCTAGATGCCACCAAAAGCTCCTGAGCCCACCCAGATGCTGTTGAACTACCAGGAACGCATCGAGCCCCCCCCATCCTGGACGCGGGCGCGTGTCCCCTGGGGTGCCATCTCCCCCCCCCAGGCTGGGGCAGGTGGCTCAGGGCTGGGTTTTGGCTCTCAGGGGTTCTTCTGGGGCAGCTGGGTTGGGTTGACCCTGGAGGGTTCTTCTGGGGGGCAGCTGGGTTGGGTTGACCCTGGAGGGTTCTTCTGGGGCAGCTGGGTTGGGTTGACCCTGGAGGGTTCTTCTGGGGGGCAGCTGGGTTGGGTTGACCCTGGAGGGTTCTTCTGGGGCAGCTGGGTTGGGTTGACCCTGGAGGGTTCTTCTGGGGGGCAGCTGGGTTGGGTTGACCCTGGAGGGTTCTTCTGGGGCAGCTGGGTTGGGTTGACCCTGGAGGGTTCTTCTGGGGGGCAGCTGGGTTGGGTTGACCCTGGAGGGTTCTTCTGGGGCAGCTGGGTTGGGTTGACCCTGGAGGGTTCTTCTGGGGGGCAGCTGGGTTGGGTTGACCCTGGAGGGTTCTTCTGGGGCAGCTGGGTTGGGTTGACCCTGGAGGGTTCTTCTGGGGGGCAGCTGGGTTGGGTTGACCCTGGAGGGTTCTTCTGGGGCAGCTGGGTTGGGTTGACCCTGGAGGGTTCTTCTGGGGGGCAGCTGGGTTGGGTTGACCCTGGAGGGTTCTTCTGGGGCAGCTGGGTTGGGTTGACCCTGGAGGGTTCTTCTGGGGGGCAGCTGGGTTGGGTTGACCCTGGAGGGTTCTTCTGGGGCAGCTGGGTTGGGTTGACCCTGGAGGGTTCTTCTGGGGGGCAGCTGGGTTGGGTTGACCCTGGAGGGTTCTTCTGGGGCAGCTGGGTTGGGTTGACCCTGGAGGGTTCTTCTGGGGGGCAGCTGGGTTGGGTTGACCCTGGAGGGTTCTTCTGGGGGGCAGCTGGGTTGGGTTGACCCTGGAGGGTTCTTCTGGGGCAGTTGGGTTGGGTTGACTCTGGAGGGTTCTTCTGGGGCAGCTGGGTTGGGTTGACCCCACAGAGGGGTCACGTTGGCCCTAAAGACCGGCCCCAGATGGTCAGCCCTGAAAAGGGGCAGTGGGTGACCCCGGAGGAGGATCTGGGGGACAGCTGGGTTAGGTCCACCTCAGAGGGGGGGTTATGGGTCACGTTGACCCTAGAGAGGGGTCACGGGTTGGGCTGGGTTGAGTGTAGGGAGGGGTCCAGGGTTGGGTTGACCCTGAAGAGGTGTCCTGGGTTGGGTTAGGAAGACCCTAGAGAAGGGCTGTGGGGGCAGTTGGGTTGGGTTGACCCCACAGAGGGGTCCTGGACTGGGGCAGCCGGGCCCTAGAGGGGGGGCTCCCAGGCAGGCCGCAGCGGGGGGGTATGGGTCCGGTTGACC